AGATTCAGGAAGGCTAAGTTCAAATGCAACTTGTCTTTGCCGCCAGAAGAATACGTAAAGATAGCTGTGAATGGGCTAGAATTTGAACTTCGTAAGAAGTTTGAAGGTGTGCAATTCTATGACTTGTTCGACTTGGCCGGCAAAGTGGCAAAGTATGAAGAGCTCCTTCGAGAGGAGCAAGACCGGAAGAGCTCCTCCAAGGGTACCTACTATCGTGATCCTAATTATGAGGTGTATACCATTGAAACTGAAGGGAAGTTTGAAGTAAATATAGCCGAGCTCAACATAAAGAAGGCCTATACTTGTGAGGCCTTGACAAAACCAAAATCAGCCACGGCTAACTTGCAGGCCGCCTCTGGATCCAAATAGAAGGGGGCAGACCCTTCCAAGAGTTACTCTTTTGACATCTCTAAAGCCGAGCAGATTTTTTATTTGCTCATGGCTGACAAGCAGCTGATCTTCACAGTAGGCTACAAGATGCCATCGGCCTCTGAAATAGCCGGGAAGGAATATTGCAAATTTCATAATTCGTGGAAGCATTCCACTAATAACTGTGTAATTTTTCGCAATATTGTGCAGAAGGCAATTGAAGATGGCAGGTTGAAGTTTCCAGTAAAGTCAGAAGTGATGGGTGTTGATGAAGATCCTTTCCCTAAGGTTGTTGCAACAAACGTTGCTTCCATGCTTCCGGAGCATTCCAAGGAGAAGGTGGACTTGGCAGGCCCAAAAGTCAGTGAAAAACTGGAAGTTCCTGAAGCTACAACATCCATGGAGAAAACAGTGGCCGAGTTGGAAAGGCAACTCCGAGAGGCTCAGATAGCCTTGATCCAGCAAGGTTGTTGTCCTAAGTGTATAATTCAGAATGAAGGATGCCATAGGGATTTTCCAAAAGAGGAGCAGAAGGAAAGGCTTTCCAACAGTGATAGAGGACAGAAATGGAAGGTCCATGATCGGCTGACTTTTCAAAAGGTGGAGAACTCTGTTACAGTGACCATTCCAGAGAAGGAAGGCCGGATTTATATAGAAAGAAGGTCAGCAACAAGGAAACCAGAATTCCTTCCAAGGAGCATGGAAAGGGACAGGCTTCCTTATGTGACAAGTTTCCGTCCTAGTAGAAAGTATGAAAACAACAATTGGCATAGCATAACCTTTAAAGGTGACAGAGGTTCAAGGCCAAAATTGGCCTCGGAAGTATGGGTCAAGAAGGGTAGCGAGCAACTCCGTCCAAGAATGGTTAAGCCCCCTATTTTGCAAAATGATAGGTGGAAGAGGCTTGATCATCCCAAATTCCTTATTCATGATGATTCTTATATAACCCACACACAAAAGTGAAGGCTGCAAAGAAAGAGGGCTGATAGAAGGAAATTATGGGAGAAAGACCGTGGTTGGACTAAATGACCAAAGAAGATGGCTAAACCATCAGTCCCATCTGAACTTCCAACAAAAAGAGGAGATAGAAATCCTGATGACTTGCTAGATCTTGAATCAGAAGTGGGGGATTCTTTGTTGGCAGACGTTCTTCTTACAAAAGATGAAGCAGACATGGAAATCTCTAAGACTTCCAGCAGTAGCAAGAAGATTTGCTTCAGGAGCATTCCAAGTGAATTTACTTGCAATATGGTAGTAGTTCTCCCTTTATTTTTTGAGCCACAGCCAAATCAGCCAAATTCAATGGAAGGAGATGTAGTAGATACAAGTCTTCCTATGGAAAGCCCTGGACAGTCAAGTTTTGAGCCAATCATAATGGAACCAAATAATGGTATCCATATAGAAGAAGTTTTCGAAGAAGAAGCTGAGCGTCTTCATAAATCAAAAGGGGTTGTAATTGAAGAAAATAGCCTTACAGTTCCAAAGAAAATTGTGTTGGAGAAGCCACCATATGGCATGACCCAGTAGCTCAAACCTTTGTATATCAAGGTATTAGTGGAAGGGAGGCCCCTTGCAAGAGTTCTGGTAGATAATGGTTCAGTACTGAATGTGATTCCAGCCAATGTTATGCGCATGCTTGGAAAGTTGCCTGAAGACATCATTCCAACTGATGTATCCATTAGTGGGTTCACGGGAGGAGTAGTGAAGACACAAGGCATTCTACCGTTGGAGTTAACGGTGGGAGATAAAACTTCAATCATGGCATTCTTTGTCATTGAGTCCACGGCGGCCTATAACTTGCTTTTAGGCTGTGAATGGATTCACCCAAATTTTTGCATTCCATCTTCACTCCATCAAATGCTGATATTTTGGGATGGAGATGAGGTAAAAGTGGTGGAGGTTGATAGCCGGCCATTTGTGGCGAGAGTCTACCATGCAGATGCTGAGCTATACAGTGATGAATTCGTTCCAATCAGATTTATTGGAATGGATAGTAAAGGCCGTCCAAAGAAGGCCACCATGAGAAGGAATCTCACTGAAGAGGATGTAAGGGAGCTTTTCTATGGAACACCTAGGCCAACAGTATTACCCAAGGCCAGTGTTCAGTGCTACATTTCTGATAAAAGTTTCTGTGGAAGAGAAACTTAGAAAAGATAGATTTCTTGGCCAGGCCGTTAATTGCTGCCTTGCCAGGTTGAAAGCATATCTAGCCGAATTACGGCTGGAAAGGGCTGCAGCTGCTGGTACTTCATTTTCAACCAATGTGTTGGAGATTATGGAAGGTGCTAAAGACAGGTTGGATGCCATCTAACTAGCAGACTTGAAGACAGCGCCAATGAAGTTGGATGATCTCAAGGCCGAAATGCAAGATCCACTTTTGGAAGTTAATCTTGGAACAGAGCAAGACCCTCGGCCTACTTACATCAGTAAGCTTCTGGAACCAACCTTTAGAGAAGAATTAATTTCCTTACTTGAAGAATACAAAGATTGCTTTGCATGGACGTATGAGGAAATGCCAGGACTTTCCAGAGAGCTGGTAGAGCATAAACTGCCAATTAAGAAAGGTTTCAAGCCTTTCAAGCAGCCTCCAAGAAGGATGTCCCAAAAAGTTGTTCTAAAGGTCAAATAAGAGATTGAAAGGTTACACAAGGCTAGGTTTATAAGAACCGCCAGGTATATGGACTGGATTTCCAACATAGTTTCAGTTATTAAGAAGAATGGTAAATTAAGGGTATGTGTGGACTTTCGGAATATTAATCTTGCAACTCCAAAAGATGAATATCCCATGCCCATTGCTGACCAATTGGTAGATTCTGCTGCCAAGAATGAAATTCTTTTATTTATGGATGGACATTCCGGGTACAACCAGATTTATATTGTAGAAGAAGACATTGCTAAAATAGCCTTCAGGTGTCCAGGGTTTATTGGAACCTTTGAATGGGTTGTCATGCCATTCGGGTTGAAGAATATCGGAGCAACATATCAAAGGGCCATGAATGCCATTTTCCATGACACGATTGGCCATTTCTTAGAAGTCTATATTGATGACATGCTCATCAAATCCTCGGTTAAAAGTCAACACCTCCACAATTTGAAGATGGCTTTTGAAAGGATGAGGCAGCACAAATTAAAGATGAATTCCTTGAAGTGTGCTTTTGGGGTTTCAGCTGGGAACTTCTTGGGCTTTCTAGTCCATCAAAGAGGTATTGAGATAGATCAAAACAAAGCAAAGGCAATCATTCAAGCAAAGCCACCGGCCACGAAGAAAGAATTACAGAGATTTCTTGGCCAGGTTAGATATCTCAGGAGGTTCATCTCCAACCATGCTGGAAAGACTCATGCTTTCTCTCCATTGCTGAAGCTGAAAGGTGCTGAAGAATTCAAGTGGACAGAGTAGCACCAGCTAGCTTTTGAAGGTTTGAAAAACTACTTGGCCAACCCTCCAGTATTGATGCCTCTAATCAAGAAGCGGCCTTTAAGATTATACTTATCGGCCGCTGATGAGTCCATTGGATCTCTTCTAGCTCAGAATAATGAATGGGGGAAGGAGCAAGCCATTTACTACTTAAGTAGGGTGCTTACTCCAGTGGAATGTAGGTACACTTCTATTGAAAAGTTGTGTCTTTCCTTGTATTATGCAGCTATGAAGTTAAGAACCTACATGTTGCCAGTGGCCGTGTATATAATTTCTCAAACGGATTTGATCAAGTATATGTTTTCCAGGCCTTTGATCACTGGACATATTGGAAAGTGGTCATTGGCATTAATGGAGTTCTCCTTTAAATATAATCCACAAAAGGCTGTCAAAGGAAGGGCGGTGGCGGAATTGTTAGCAGATCATCCTTCCACCAATTTTGATCCAGAAGTATGTGACGAGGTGGATAATCTCTACCTTGACTATACACCTTGGACGCTCATGTTTGATTGATCAAGCACCCATGATGGAGGAGGAGTTGGAATAGTCATCATTTTCCAAAAGGGAGGAAAACCACATTCTCTTTCTTCTTGGATTTCAAGTGTACGAACAACCAAGCTGAATATGAGGCACTAATTATTGGGCTGGAAATTCTGCTGGAGCTAAAAGGTGGAGAAGGTCCAGATTATTGGAGATTCCAACTTGATACTTAGTCAGATTTCTGAAGAATATAGGTGTCTTAACTGGCATTTGAGGCCTTTCCACTCTTTGGCCTTGGAATTGCTTGGTCGGTTTAGTGATTTCCAACTCAACTATTGGCCTAGACATTTAAATACGGAGGCTGATGATCATAATTAGCCTCTCGAGTGAAAGTCCCATCGGGTGTGGAAGAAGCTTTGATCACAGTCAAAAGAAGGACTCTTCCTTCGGTAGAGTTACGGTATGAGATGGCAAGTCATTTCCAATCTGAAGAGCCAGAAAGAATTAAACCTGTCAATAAGCCATGGGAGGTTTTCAATGTTGATATAGATGGATTAGACTTGGATGATTGGAGAACACCAATTATCCAATTCTTGCAGGAGCCTAGCTCTAAAATGGATAAGAGAATTCATCTTTTGGCACCACATTACATTCCGATTGATGGGGATCTCTACAAGAAGAGTAAAGAAGATGGACTTTGTTAAGATGCCTCGGCAAGGATGAGTCTATGAGGGTGATGGCAGAATCACACCTTGGAATATGTGGAGCACATCAAGCTGGAATTAAGATGAGATGGCTTCTTAGAAGGTATGGCTATTACTGGAAAGGCATATTGAAAGATTGCATAGAGTTTGCAAAAACTTGCATTCCATGTCAAGAACATGGCCTTATCCAAAGAGTTCCAGCTATTAACATGCAGCCGGTAGTAAAAATATGGCCCTTTAGAGGATGGGCTTTGGATTTTATTGGAAAATTAAAGCCTCCATCTTCAGATGGCCATACTCACATAGTGGTGGCAACAGATTATTTCACAAAGTGGGTGGAAGCCATTCCACTAAAGAATTGTGAGCAGTCAACGGTGATTGATTTTATCAAGAAGCACATTATACATAGGTTTGGAATTCCAGAGACTATCACCACTGATAGAGGTTTTTCCTTTGTTGGAAGCAAGGTCTTGGATTATTGTGCTGAGTGTGGTGTCCAAGTAATCAGTTCTACTCCATATTTTGCCTAATCAAATGGGCAGACAGAAGCTTTCAACAAAATAATTCTCAATATCCTTGAAAAGATGATTGAGGATCTACCAAAGGAGTGGCATCATTTACTTTCTGAGGCCCTTTGGGCTTACAGGAATTCAAAAAGGTCAAGTACTGGCGTCACACCATATATGCTTACATATGGGCATGATTCCGTCCTTCCAATGGAGATGACTATCAGATCTGCAAGGGTGGCTTTCCAAAATAGGCTAAATCCAGTAGATTACAACCATGCCATGTTGGCAGAATTAGAAGATCTTGATGAAGTCCGTCTCAATGCCTTAGACCACATTATTGCTCAAAAGAAGAAAGTCATGCGAGCATACAACAAGAAGGTCAAGGCGAAGACATTCGTTAAAGGAGACTTGGTATGGCAAGTCAAGTTTCCACCAGGATTTAAAACCTTGGAGTATGGAAAATGGACTCCTAATTGGGAAGGTCCTTACTTGGTGGAACGAGTCCTTGGAAAAGGGGCTTATAGATTGATGGACATAGATGGAGGGTCTCATAGGCATCCTGTGAATGGTGTGTACTTGAAAGAGTACCACCCTTCCATCTATGAAGATTGGAAAGCTACATTTATTCAACCAGCCACGTAGTATGGCTGGTCCATTCCTTTCCAAGTAAACCAGAACATTGGAAAGGAGGAATGTTGGCCACACTTTGGTCATTCTGGTAGCTAAAGCAAAATGGAGGGATAATTTGTTTCAAGAAGGAGAAGCTAAGTATTTGGAAGATTACATTGGCTAAAGCTATGAGGCAGACTTAGTTGAAATTCCAAGATCAGTTAATTTCCTAAGTATGGAAGTCTTCAGCGAGAGAGAGGCTACACTACATGGTCCAGGTTCTATTCATACTGGAAATTGTTCATCTTGCTTGTATATACATGCATTTCCATTGTGGCAATTTCTTTTATTTCTTTGAATTTCCTTTGTTATGGAAAGCCAATTATATGGCTATGCCTTATTGTAAATATATGTGAAGGAATTTTCCAGTTTCAGTGACTTAAAAATTTCTTTTCCATATAAATTGTGAAAGAGGCACATGCAAAGGATTGAGAAATAGAACATCATTAGATACTTGTTTTCATTACAAATTCCAAAAATGGCCACTAAAACCTAGAGTTGGCTATGCAAGTGATTTCAAAGTATCTAATACTTATTTCCTACCAACATCCAAAAAACTCACAAGTTTTCCTAAAACAACCACACAATAGAACCACAAAGAGAACCACACGAAGGTCAGATAGAGGCAAGAACACCTCCAAGTTCCATCCAAATTTTCCTTGCTTCTCCAAGAGTGACCAAAGCTCTAGCCTTAGCATCTTCAAACTTGTGAAACTCTTTAACTCATTTTTCCCATTCCTTAATGGTTCAGAAGCATTAACAAGGGCAGTAGCTGCCTGGTCCAACTCAAGTTCTTCACGTTCTACTTGTTCCAATTCTATTTGAATTTTGGCCAGTTCCTCGTTCAATTCTTCCTTCTTGGACATGAGCTTTTCAGCCCGCTCTTTGATTTCTGGGTAGTACTCTAATGAAAGTTGGAAATCCTCAAGAGCTTTGTCTTTGAGTTTGGCCTCTTTCTCGTACTCAGAAATTGCAGAGGTACTAGAGTTTACATGGGAAACAATGAATTGGAGTTGGTGTTGCAACTTGGTTAAAGAAGCCTGGATGGACTCGGGAAATTCAGGGTGGTTTTTTAGGATCCTTATAGTACTGGCTAGACTTGGGTAGAAAGAAACTATATCCTCCACCTCATGGGCAAGGTAAAACAATAACTTTTCCTTGGCTATCATGATTGTATCATCTGAAGGTCCTGGAAGGGTGAGGACACTTGCGCTTGAAGTGGAAGTGCTGGAAGATTTGGTGGCCTTGATTACCTTGTAAAGATCAGCCAAAGCTGGAAAGGCTCTCTTTTGCACCATAAAAGAGGTTGAGGTAGACAAGGAAGGAGTAGCCTGAAGTGGAAACAAGTTTCTATTAGATAGAAAGAAGGAAATAAGGTGAAATTTAAAAGAAGAAAGACTTGCCTCTGAAATGGAAGGAGTATGGCCAGTAGAAGTTCCACCAGTTACGGAAGGAAGGGTTATTCCAATAGTAGAAGTTGGAATGGGCAAACTTTTCTCGCTCTTGATGGCCAAACTCTCCATGATTGAAGCCTGAAGGGCTAAGTCCTCTCCTTGTGCAATTTGTTGATCCAGATGGATATTCATGAAGTTGTGTCCCATAGTAAAACCCTGTTGGTCAAATTTGAAGTTACAAACGTTCTAAAGTGATGAAATCGAAGAGAGACCAGGTTTGAGACTTACCAAGACAAGTTCTTTGGCTGGCTTTGGTTTCTTGTGTTTTGGTGAGTCTACGGCCTGTTTGAGCTTTTCTGTTTTATCTAGTTCAGGCATGATTTTCCTTTTTGCCTTTCCAACGATTTTCCCAGTGGGGCTACACACTTTGAGGGCTTTACTAGAATGTTGAGTAGTGGTTTGTCCTTTGGAAATACCGACTTCTCCATCAGAGGACTCTTCATCAGTAGAGGATAATTGGGGCTGAAATTCTTTTTTGACAATGGCCAGTCCCTGCAAAAAGAGATATAAGCAAGGTCCAGAATATGGAAAATTAAGTTCAGCCACATTGAAGTACCTAAGAAGTCTTTCCTTTCCCCTTTGCTTTATACAAAGCGTCTTCCTCTTCCTTCGGTATTTCCTCTTCAACTTCTTCCTCCTCCTCTTCATCATCACTTGAGGAAAGACTCTCAATACTTACGTCACCACTTTCAGCTACCCCTTCAATTTTGCTAGTCACTGTAGTGGTTTTCTCTCCACCTTCATCCTCTTCACTTTCTTCGAGTATTTCTTCTTCTTCATCTGAAACTAACCAAGTCTTAGTATATGGAAGGTTGATGAAAAATGGAATTTATATTGAATATTATTTATACTTGGAGACAAAGGCTTGAAGGAAGCCAATATGGAATCACAGACAACCTTATGATTTTTGATTTTGGTAGAGGAAATATAAGCTGACCACCATACATCGAATTCATTGGTTGATTGAGGCTTGCTAGTATGGCCTTTGAAATTAAAAGTTGCTCTTTCTGTTGTGTAGGCTTGGTCAATCGCTGCAAATTGTTCAGTATCTGTAAGACGAACACGTTGGTCAAATAATCTGTTGTAAGATTTGCAGGGTGGTAAAGGAATCATTTGGGTGAAGCCCATTTGCCTTGCTAGTTGGGCTGGGTTGTAGAACTCAACACCGCAGAGAATATTCTTCAAAGTAGGTTGAGCAGTGTTGTAATGGAGGTCATGAGCAATAAGGAAGCTGGCCCAAATATTTTTCCAATCTTCAGAATGTTTCTTGGTAGACACTCCGGGAGATGGAACCAACCATGATGGCATGCGACCAATGGCAGTGAATGGATCAAAGAACTCATCGTTTCCAGTCTCACATTGATTGTAGAAATATTCAAAGTTTTCAGCAAAGCTGAAAGGAGAAGGATCTGCGGTTGCCAAAGAATGGCACAAAAGGGATTTTCCAGTTGGAGTGATTAGGGGTGAAGTTCTGTTTTGGAAGTATACCTTAAGGCACATTTGGAACAACCAGAAGGGGCCTTGGAACCTTAAAAACTTAGAAGTAAGGAGATCATGAAGACCTCTATATAAATGAGAAAGTACAAGCAGAGCTAATGTTAAGTTTCCATTTCTGGCTAGGGAAACCGCCACTTGAACAAAGTCTTTTGTGATTTGGCCAGATGGAACACACAGTAAGTGGCCAGAAAGCCAACAAATCAGGAAAGCAATGTGTTCATTTTCTTGAATTGGGCCGGTTTTCCTACAGTGTTTAATAAAAGGGAGATGGGAGGAGATGAACTTCTTACTTCCAGTGGTCTTGGTTGGAAAGAGGAATTGTTCAACAAAGAGGGTGGCACTTACGTCATCTCCATGAGGCTTAAGACCTGTGATGCAACAAATGTCTCTCAAAGTAGGGGACATCATTCCACATTTAAGATGTAGAGAATTGGTGGTTGAAGACCAAAAGAAAAGGGCTGGAAAGAGGAGGTTCGGATCAAGTGTTATGGAGGACTTACTGATTTGGATAATGTCATAGATGTCCTATTTCTTCCACTGTGAAGAAATTTTCTCGTCCTTGGAAAGATGACTCACCCATGGAGACCAGGATGAACGATATATTGACCAGTTTCTTATGCTGAATGAGGGTTTTACTCTTTTCATTTTCTTTGAAATAAGAGGGAACTCTGAATCAAAGGGGAGAGGGGACCTACCGGAAGGGTAGAATTCGGCTAATTAAGAGGGGGCTACGTTGGCAAAGGCTGGACCCAACCCAACTGAGGAATCTTTGAAGTGAATCAGAGTTTCAAGATGAAGTCTAGCAGGGTTTAGAGACTTCAAGAGTACTTGAACTTGGTGATTGTGGCTTCGAATTTTGGTTTTGGTTTGAATAGAAGGAACTGGCAGGGATAAGCTAGTAGTTGGCTTGGAAGGTTTCTTGGGAGCCATGATCTGTAATTTCTTCGTGGATGGAGATGTCCTTTAGGGTTTCAGAAAGAGGAAAGGTGATAGAAGGAAAGTTATTGGTGAACGATAAGGATGGAGGGAATATATATAGAAAACGATAAGGATGGAGGGAATATATATAGAAACGATAAGGAAGGAAGTAAAGGCTGAGGGCGTTTTCCTAGGATAGGTGGTTGGGTTTTCAAAATTCAAAAGGAAGTCTTAAAAGGTTTTGGAAGCTGGATGGTGTAATGCCATAAATGGATGAGAGGTTTATCGGGAGACGGAATGTGTTTGGCGGCTGAAAAGATTAACATGGGTAGAATCAAGGGATCAGCCGAATAACACGTAGAAGATTTTATTCGTTTACGATGAAATCTTTCAAAGTCTAAGGACGCCTTTTGAGGAGGGGTAGTTAGAGGAGGACTTTCAAAAGGAAAAGGAAATAAGAAGGATTGGGAAGCTTGACAGCTTTTAGCCATAAATGGGAAGGATTTCCTTTGAGATACGGGATCTTTGGAGAGAGAGTTTATTTGCAGAGGAAACCGAGGGAATAGCCACGTGTTATGAGGATTTTCATATGATGATTATCTTAGGTCTTCTAAGAATCCAAGTTGTGTTCATTGGGGATTCGGTTGGAATTTTGAATTTCGAAAAAGGAAAGTAAAGAGGCTTTTGTGGGGAATCATAAGTAAACACTTTTTGAGGCGCATGATACTTGGGGAGGTGACGGTTGGAGGTAATTAATATGGTGGGAACCGAAGAGATTAATTGTGTTAAGTATTGAAAGTTTAAAAATCATGATGGGGGTATGTTAATGGCGGAATTCAAATCCCACGCCTTATTTTCAAAGTTGTTCTACAAGACATGGAATTTGGGGGGCATATGTTTATTCCATTATTTTGCCCAATGGAAAGAAGACAAGTGGCGAGTTTTGACAAAGCTTGCCATATTGATTTAATGTTCTAATTGTCCAAGGAAAGGAGGGTGTGACATGGAATTGTTAATATGTTTTCTTAATAGAAAAGAAATACGAGGCAAGTTTCAATGGAACTTGCCATATTAGAGTGAAATATTGATAAATATTCCTTTGGAATATTAATTCTACAGGAAATTAAAAGGAGTGGTGAGTCCCGCTAGGACTTACCAAACTTAGGATATAAAGTCCTAAAAGAACGAGAAGATTGCATAAAGATATTACCATGAGTGCAATTTCATGAAAAGGCTAAAGTCAAAGATTCAAACAACCAATAGTTTATTGACACATGACGAGTTTTATTAGACTTGCCACGATATATTAATTCTGTTTGAATTTATTTGGAAGATCCTATTAATATAGGATACCAATTAAATGAGAATTTTCCATTTTTAGAACAAAGTTGACCAAGTCACAAGAGGGAATGTGGAGGCAATATTTTCTCCTTATTTTTAGGAGACATCAACAACTGCTCAAGCCAGGTCAACCTTTTTGCTAAAATTCAGCAAAAGGTGGGAATTCAGTTTTTTTTCTTTATATATATATATATATATATATATATATATATATATATATAAGTATATATATATATTTAACCCACGATGGAGTAATTTTCGTGAGCCCATGATGCTTTGAGTTCAAATGAGGAAGTGCACCACGATTACGACCCACGATGTAAATTCAGAGACCTCGACGCCATGAATTTAATATGGAAGGTTCGGCCTAAAATCAAGGAAACCATGGTCTACAGAAGAAAAGGGAGTGGGTTGGATAAGTATGTGTACGAATACATTCTGAAAAACTACCCATAATGGAGAAGCTGCTAAAATCTAGGAGTACATGGCGCCATGTACTCTAAATTCAGAAGGAAAGCTTTGAAGAAGGAAGTTACCCAAAGATTAAGGAAACGTGGATAGCTTTTATATACATTTCTCATAGAATTATACGGGTAGGAGGATTCTCAGGAGAAGAGAACGTGGAAGATATATATTGATGCATGCATATATATAAATATATTTTATATATACAGCCCACTATGGAGAAATTATTGAAATAGGAGGAGGGCCACGATGCCATGATGCAGAAAGGAAAGTCTAGACCATAATAGGTTACCTAAAGCTAAGGAGATGTGGGACACTTGGCTGAACAAGAAAGTGTCGGTTGAGGGTGGTGGAATTTCTTAAGGGAACAACTACCAACTAAAGCAGTTATTGAAGGAAGTGGTTTGGATCGTGTCTGAAGAAGGTAGATGTCTATGGCAGGAAGGAAAAGAACGTGGAGACGTGGGACACGTGTAGACCTATGAAGAAACCAAGTGGAAAATTATTGCAAAGAACTACCCATAAACTGTAATCGTGGGTAATGAGGTTAGGGATTATGAAATCATGTTTGAAGAGGGAAAGAAGTCTACAATAGAGGAGGGAGAAGATGGAAGAAAGAGGTTACAACTGCCAAGAGATCATGGGACACTTGGCAGTTTAGAATCTGGCCACGTGGAAGTCGCTGGAGTTGCCACATCAAGCTGCTACATGCATGGAGTTCTATAAGTAAAGCACTTATGCTTCACTTGCAAACCCTGTTCAAATCACACAGCAAAACAGCACTTTCAATTCCTTACATTCATGTATCTTTACATTTATGTAATGTACTTTCAATATGTTTAATTCAAGTACTACACTTATCTTTCCTACTTTCCAAGTCCTGCACTTCAATTACTTTACCTTCCAGCCCTGCACTTTTAATACCGCTTTTCTTTCCACTAGCCGTAGATCAGTCCAAAAATCCTTTTTCAAGGCAAAAAGAACCCTTGAAGGTGGTAATTCCAGTCCTTCTTATAATCGCCTGATTCCTACAATTTCCTACTGGATAGTTGTTCGAGATACTCACTTTGGAACGACAGCAGTTCCTGGCACACTCGATATCCAATCCTACTTTCCATTCACCTGGAAAGTGGAACCTCGGTTTTTAGGAGCCGAACACAATCCTCTAATTGATTACTACTGTGTTGGGTTAGTTTGTACAAATTTTGTGCACAGGACAGACTTCAAAGGGAGAGCTAGAATTAAGTTGATCTATTAATTGACCTCCCACCCAACTCTACCCCTTGGGATTCATTCATGGTGTTTTTTGATTTTTTTTTTCATTCATCGTTGGATTTTGTTGAATTGGAAGTGATTCGTTCAACAGTACCTAAGAATACTGAATATAAAAGTGATCCATTAATTACTGTAGTATTTGAAATTGTACTTTTTGCAGAAGTTTTGGTTTTGCTGCTAGCTGGAACATAGTCATAATATGAGACTAATGTGTATTTTTCATGTCCATAGTGTAAAAACTTAATTAAAATGTGCAGCATAATTATGTCCTTAGTTTTTGATGAGCTGAAACAGAATGATCTACTTAGTTTCATACCACGAATGAAATGTCAAGTTTAAAGGAATTTATCAGATTGTATATGTTCTTTCTCTCATTGTATAACTCGTGCTTGGGTTAGTCATGTACTATTGGTGTGTGTGTTTTAATTATTATTTTTTATTATTTTATATGGTGAAAAATAAATGCTGTATTGAGAATTTGATTGCTTTGAACATCAGAATTTTTATAAAGGACAATGCCACTGAAATCAACCAGAGAGAAAGATCACTACTGTCTTATGTTGTTGTGTGTGTCACCAGGTAAATTCTTGATTTATATTGGGTAAATGGGACTAAAAAAAAAAAAAATTTAAAAAAGAAATATTGAATGATCAAGGAAGCATTAATAAGCTCCCCACATGAGATAGGAGAAAAATCTTCTCCTGTGTAGGTGCTGGTTGCCTTTGATGGCCGACCACCATCTGAAGAGGGGAGAGAGAATTAGGGCGTTGTTGGTGATTGAAGGAGAAGGGTAATATGTATTTCAAGTTTTAGAAAAAATAAAAATAAATAAATAAATTTTATTTCTTATAAAGTATAAATTTTTTTATTTGATATAAAGTATAAAATTTCTTTTCATACTTGTATAGAAGTACTTATTAGTAATTATTTTTTTCTCAATTGATTTTAAGTAACGTGGTGCATTTTGAACCACAAGCCTCTCCCCGGCTGGAACAAATAACTGTTCCAGTGGAGAGAATTTTTGTCCAGGAGAGAATAAGGCAATATGGGCGAGATTTTGAATTTCAAACTAGATGGGTCAAATAATCCGTCGTGTCCCGTTCGCTGGTATACACACGCATGAAACACACTTTTTGTTTTCTTTTACGTACACACGCATGAAACACACTTTTGTTTTCTTTACATACGCACTTTTTGTTTTCTTTACAAGCACACCTTTTGTTTTCTTTTACTACACTCGCATGAAACACACTTTTGTTTTCTTTACAGACACTTTTGTTTCTTTACAAGCACACTTTTTGTTTTCTTTTACATTTATAGGGTGGACCCCACATATCTCTCCTCAATTCCTATAATAATTGAGGACTGCTAGCGGGTGCGGACTGCCGTGTTCACACCACGTGGCTATGTGATTGCTTTTTAACAGTTGTATTGTATATTTATTTTACTTAACAAAAAGGTCCGGGTGGTTCAATACAAAATGGACACGAACTTCACAAAAATCACAAAAAAGCCACCCAAGCTATTTTATACAGAAACCAAAAAGTTCAACTTCTTCGTTTCCTTCTACACCAAAAAAAACCAAATACACCACACCACACCACCATTAAATTACAGCGAATTGAAAGAGTGATAGATGAGAGAGAGAGCAAAGAAAAGGGGAAAAGGGTTCTCCGGGGAAAAGGGTTGTTGCTTTGCGAGTGGCAGTTTTGTGATTTGTTTAAAAATTGATTTCTATTTTGTATGTGAATGAGGAGCAACTCTTTAAGGTGAAAGTCATACAGTACAATTGTTTTAACCAACCAGAGAGTGCCACATAGCGAAACGCAAATCCATTCAATTTCTAAGAATTTAAAAGAGGTTAAGGTACAGTAGCAGTAGGTCGTGTACTAAATAATTCAGTAATGGAATATTTGGAGCGAATATTGAGGTTACTAATATTGTTGATGTTGGTTTTGGTGAATGGGTGTTATGGTTGTTGGGAGCAAGAGAGAATCGCTCTTTTGCAGCTCAAAGCTTCCACCAACCACCCAAATGGCTCTTCCCTGTCATCATGGGATGACCTGGAGGGTGAAGAAGTTACAGATTGCTGTGAATGGGAACATGTTGAGTGCAATGCAACCACACATCGCGTCATCAAACTTTCACTTAATTCTACAAGGAATGATGAGTTAGGAGCTTGGTATTTAAACACCTCGGTGTTTCTTCCATTCGAATCACTCATAAGCTTAGATTTAAATGACAATGTTTTACACGGCTGTATTGAGAATGAAGGTCTGCCTAGCTTCTCTCTTCATATATAGTATACAAGATGAGATATTCAATTGAAGGATTGTTTCCTTTACTTCTTTCATTTTCTTTTTCCTTTTCTTTTTTCTGTCAATTCATTTTTGAGAACAAAGTTGAGCTGACATGCATATATGCCAAATTACTTTATTTATTTTTTTTTTTTTCCTTCTCTTGCAGGTTTTGAAAAACTATCAAGGTTGAGCAATCTACAGATCCTTAATTTGAGTTTGAATCACTTCAATAATAGCATCCTGCCATCTCTAAATGGACTTTCATCTCTCAAGACCCTAAAACTACGGAAAACAACTTGATAGGGCAAGTTTACATTCAAGGTGAATTTGAAGTAAAGTTTCTTTCCAATCTTAATTGAAAGGGACATTACACTTCGTGTTTCCTTGGTGATTAGTTTAATGTGATTATTGCTCTTTAATTCTCTGACTTTTCATTCCCTGTTTAGATTTTGATGGTTTGAAAAACTTGGAGGAGCTGGACATAAACTTGAACGATTTCGATAGTATTGTGACCAAAGAAGGTATGACGAAGAAAACAAAGGATTTCTCACTCACAATTATACTTTAATTAACAAATTGAACACAGCAACCCATTATCCTCCATAGTTAATTTATTGGGCTATGATATGATATCACATTATTTTAGGTACAGAAAATAAGAAAAGGGAAGAAAAGTTAAAAAAAAAAAGAAAAGACGAAAGCTTTTATCAATATATTGCATGAAAGGTCGTCAAAGTAGTTGTAAATTGAAATATCAAGACAAAAGCTGCTTCATATGATCACATTCACAATAGTATTTATATTTGATGTTAGCCTAGTACTTGTCACCAAACACAAAAAAAAAAAAAAAAAAGAAAAAAAAAAATATACATAGAGAGAGATAAATAAGCTATATTTATTAATGATAAAATGGTAGTACTTACTGTACCATAAATTCCTCAACCGAAAAGGAACTTGGGCAAGAGAAGGAGCAACAGATCGAGTTAGCTGACCTCTTTAGAAAAGAAAAGTAACATGCTATGAATCCCAATAGACCACCTCTTCACTGCTTCTAACAGCATTAACATTCAGGAGAAAGAAGTCTCCTTCCCGAACAATTCAAGCAAACAAATATCTAAGGGTTAGTAACTAGAGAGCAAGATAAATCGTTTGAATAATCTATATAATTTGGTTTTTGTTTCCTATGAAGGATTCAAAAGTTCTAACTTGTATTACCACTTGTTAATTTTACAGGATTAAAGAGCGCCCCAAGTTTGAACAACATAGAGATCCTTGATTTGAGTTATAATTACTTAAACAATGATCTGTCATTTCTGCTAGGACTTCCATCACTGAAGACACTGTCTATGATACGAGTGAGGAATGTAACAATTCATGGTAAAGGTAAATTTGAAGTCACGATTCACTCATTACAGCATGTTCCTTATTTTAAAATTTTATAGATTTAAATTTCTTCCACTCTGGTGCATCTTCTTAATTTCCGTGTTTACAAAGTTGCAAAAGCTTAGGAATATGGAAACCTTGTACTTGGATTATGCTACTCTCAGTAATGACTTCCTTCAAAGCATTCAAGTGATGACTTCTCTTAAAGTGTTGTCACTACGAGGTTGTGGACTGACCGGCAGTTTAGCTTTTCCAAGTAAAAATAGAATAAAACATTAGACAACTGCCCTCATATCCTCTCTCTATCTTTCTCTCACACACACTGTCACAAACAAGTTCTTTTATGTTGCCATATATATGAACATGTTAGTTCAGCCAAGTTAATTCCAATCAATTAATTTTAATATTGTTTAGGGCTATGTGAACTGAAGACTCTTCAGGAGCTTGACCTGCAAGATAATAAAATAGAGGGTGACTTGCCTCGATGCATGGAAAACTTGACATCCCTTCGGTTTTTGGATCTCTCTTTCAATCATTTTACTGGGAATATTGCATCATCTCCACTTATTCATCTTACGTCTCTTGAATACCTTGCCCTTTCACACAATAACTTCAAAATCCCAATCTCCTTTCGATCATTTTCCAACCACTCAAAACTGAAGGTCATTGACAGCCTGAACAATGAATTAGTGGTCGACGCAGAGTTTGATCAGACCTTGGCAGTCCCAAGTTTTCAACTAGTTGGCATCCGTTTATCTGATCGTGAATTTTGCAACGTCAAGAATACTACTGGAGCCTTTCCCAACTTCCTATACTACCAAAAGGACCTCCAAAAAGTTGAGCTCTCTCGGATAAACTTCGAGGGGAAGTTTCCAAATTGGTTGTTTAATAACAATATAAGGTTGGTTACACTTCTTTTACCAGATAATTCTTTCACTGGACATTTTCAGTTACCACTCCTTCCAAAGACACAGCTTCTAGCACTGGACATCTCCAACAATTACTTCCATGGCCATATTTCAAAAGACATTGTTAAGGCTTTTCCAAGTTTAAAATTCTTAAATATGTCTCGAAATGGCTTTGGAGGTCCTATTCCTTCTTCATTAGGTGATTTGTCCGGTCTGGAGTTTCTCGACTTTTCCTTTAATCAGCTTTCGGATGAAATACCAGGCCACTTGGCCATGGGTTGCTTCTCCTTGAAATACTTGAAACTTTTAAGTAACAATTTGCAAGGCCCGATATTACCTAGAAAAAGTAACCTGACTATGCTGCATTCTTTATACCTGGATCACAATAACTTCACAGAGATCTCAAATAGCTTGTCCAACTGTTCTAACTTGAAGGTGTTCAACATAAGCCAGAATCATTTGTCAGGCAAGCTACCTGTGTGGATGGGAAGTATGTCACAACTGTTGGCGATTGTTATGTCCAATAATCATCTCCAAGGTCTTATTCCAACTGAATTTTGTCAGATTCGTAATCTTTGGGTTCTTGACCTCTCTGAGAACAATATTACTGGGACTGTACCTTCTTGCTTCAACCAATCAATTATGAAGCATGTTCAAGGACCATTGCCATCTGCATTTGACAACATGAGCTCATTAGTGACCTTAGATCTTTCCTATAACAACTTGACTGGTTACATTCCGAACTGGATTGGAACCCTTTCTCGTTTGAGCAGTCTTCTCTTAAAAAATAATCGCTTTGAGGGCAAGATCCCTATCAATTTATGCCGCTTGTCTAATTTGAGTTTGATTGATCTTTCTGATAATAACTTTTCTGGTCGTATTCCTCCTTGTTTGAGTGACATCAGTTTTCATGGACCACCTCGGAAAGCTTCATCGTGTTATACTCCCAGCAGAGTAATTCCATATTTACACTTCACAACATTACTCTTGGGTGATCTGAAAATGATATAAAAAATCATTCAAAAAGATTTAACTAAATTTGGTGATCCAAATAAATACATAACGTTCACAATAAAAGGAATGATCCGTTTTTACAAGGGAATCAATCTTCAACTCTTTTCAGCAATTGATCTCTCCTGCAACAAATTGACTGGCCACATACCACATAAAGTTGGGAGCCTAGGCCGAATCCAATCGCTTAACTTGTCTCACAATGGCCTACGTGGAACCATCCCAACCACGTTTTCAGACTTGGATGGCATAGAGAGCTTCGACCTCTCCTTCAACAACTTGAGTGGGAAAATCCCTTCACAGCTTGCTGAGCTACACTTTCTAGCTTTGTTCAATGTGTCATGCAATAACCTATCGGGCAACATACAATGGAGTCCAAATTCTCCCCAGTTCGATACATTTGATAACAGTAGCTACATCGGAAATCCACTTCTAGTTTCAAGAACTTGCACCGCCAGTGAACCACCGGTGGTCATCATGAATAGCTGTGAAGTGGATTATGGCTTCATGGACATGGAATCTTTCTATGTGTGCTTCACAGTGTCCTACATCACTATGTTCTTAGGGATTGTTGTTGTTTTTTACATCAATCCCTACTGGAGGCGGGCATGGATTCATCTAATTGAGGTGTGTGTCACTTCTTGCTTCTACTTTGTTCGGGACAATTTTGGAAAGGTATTTTGTCAGGGAAATAATTAGATACATGTTAACCCTTTTTGTTTTATTTTTTTCCTTCCTTTTCAGTGCTGCTTTCAAGCTCAAAATAAATAACATCTCGTAGTTATTACCAAACGTATTTGGTTCATTGAATAATAATTTAGTAATTCAAAATTTATAGTTCTTCCACACACTATATTGTTAGTAAATTTTAGGTACACTGCATTTGATTCTATTGGTTTAGTTTTGTATCAACAGGTTAATAATTATTTTGCTCCAGTAACACGGAATATATAACAATTAAAAGGGCCAATATTTAAAAATTCGTAAGTGCAAAAAAAACTATTCTACTCTCGAAATAGTGCAAAATAGTTTTCTGTGGTGTAAAATACCTTTATACTATTGATTTGGTACGAATAACCTCCTGAAATCTTAAAATAACAATAATACCCTCGTATCAGTAGAATAAATTAATAAATATAAATACGGTCTAATTTGTGTAGAATTTTGTCCAAGAATGGAATAAGCTAAACCAAACAACCCATAGTAATGGAGTAATGCTTTCATCAAGGAATGCATCATTCCAAATATCAAATTGGATGTGTTGGTTCTTGACACCATAGTAAACCCTCTCTTCTCTCTCAGTTAGCCATCCTTATCTCCTCCGCTTTCGGATTCGGCCACGACCGAATCGAGATCCTGTGCCGGCCAACAACAACTTTGCGACCAAGGATGGTTCTATTCGCGGATGATTCAATTTCTAGTACTGAAGTCGAGGAAGATGATGTAGTGCTACTGATCTAAAAATGTTTGTCTATCTACTTGTATATCTCTGTATATATCATATATGTATCCGAGAAACCCAAGAGGAGAGAGAAAATAGGAACAAAAATAGGAACGAAAAGGGTAGGGGGGCTTTATGCACATTCTGTTAGGGGCAAAATAGGAAAAAAAGAGGGTAAAATTGAATTTTTATATTTATTTTTTTTGTCAAAAAGTGATCAAGAGTGACTTACTTGTACCTTTTAAAAATTTTTATAAACAAAAATACACATTTTTAAAAAGAAGGATGTATTCTGCACATAATATATATTATAAGGGAATTTTCTACACTTGATCCTTTAAAAATATTTCACGCATAGAAATCACAGCCTTGAAAGAAAATTAGTTATATAGCGGACATATTAACTCATGCAAACAATAATTTTGATTTGGTGCATATTTCTAATGAGGCACTACAGTAAGAAACTTCTCTTATTTCAACTGTTTCTATACAAAAGTATATTGCTTCTCTTTGGAAAAGGTTAATGATTTTACAAGCTTGAGGAAATTGGATAGAAGTACTTTCCGAAAAAAAAAAATTGGATAGAAGTTCTGTTGCTTTGCAAGTTTTCACTGGAGATGCAAAACTAAAAAAATCATTTTAACAATATTGACATGTTAAGAAAAACTACTAATGTTGAGCAATATGAAGATTCTTGACGAGAGTTCTAGTCATTCCAATTTGATCAAGTTTACAAGATTGGTGTAAAGAAATTGCAATAATGCCCAGAGTGGAATATATGATATTCATTAATTTTAGTGTCAAAATCATAAAACACTCTGTACTATTCAAAAATAATCATATAACCCCCATTATACTAAAAAAACTATATGAAAAATCTATATATATATATTTTTTTAAAAAAATCCATCATATAACTGCCATTCCATTTATTTGCGGTCAAAAATTAATTGAATAATAAAACTTTGTGTCATGTGCCAACTTTTAAAATATTTTATGAAATGCCCTTTTAAAATAACTCATTCAATTCTTAAATTAATATTAACAGTTAAAGTCTTAAAATTTCTTTATACTATCCAAAATCATCACGTAACCCCCCAATACTAACAAAGTACCTCCGGAACTAACTAAAGTGATCGTTTTACCCTCATTCCGTGACCAGGCACGGATCTACAATGGGAAGATCCTGCTCCACTAAAATTTTTTGTTATTGCATTTTATACCTCTAAATTTATACTTCTTTGCATTTATGCTTGTAAAATTTTGAAATTGTCCCTACTGAAATTATATAAAAAAAATCCTCCCCCCCTCCCCCCCCATATGAATTTCTAGATCTGTCCCTATCCGTAACTGAGTTGTTATCTGCTTGATGATTTAGTATTAATTTAAAAGGATGAATGAATTATTTCAAAATGCAACCAAAGGCAGTGTAGCCTAATGGTGTTTCCTCGTCATCTAACGAAGAAGGTCGAAGGTTCAAGTCTCCATAGGCACATTGTGGGTGTGAGTGTGTTTCTTCCCACTGAAAAAAAAAATTTATTCTAAGATGCAATTATGCCCTTTGTGGTATCACAAATAAATAAAATTGGAGTTACTAATGACATATACCAACTAAACAAGATATGGTAATTTGGGGCTTCTGATAAAGGTTGCAAAGCCAAGGCTTGAGGTCAATGAAAGAGGTGTTTGTGGAAAATACAATTTAGAGCTGACATTAAATGGTTAAAAGGGCATTTTGATTATATAATATTTCAAAAGTTGAAACATGACAAGCACGTGTTATTGTCCCGTTACTTTTAAATGACAAATAAATGGGTTGAGGGGTGGTATGACGGATTTTTAAAAAAAGTAATGGACTTCTAAGAGAGATTTTTGTTATACGGGTTATATGAACGATTATGAAAAGAATAGAGGTTATAATTTTAACCCAAATATAAAATTATGGGGGTTAATTTTGTCATTTCACATGTTAATTAATAGCTCCTTCACGACATGGGGTGTAAAATGATCACTTTTGTTAGTTATAGGGGTTATTTGTTAGTACAAAGGGTTATGGGATGATTTTGGATAATGTAAAAGGGCTTTATGATTTGAACCTTTAATTCTATTTACCTTAGCCACTTGTAATATTTATTTTCATGAATATGTTTTCTAAAATTTTACCAAAATTTCTTACTCATATGAGTTATAAAATCCAAGGCACTTGGAATAGACTTTTACCATTGAGAGCATTTACTTATCTTTAGGTATCTTATAATATTAATCACTAGGTTTTCTAAAAGTTTACCAAAATTTTGTACTTGTATGAGTTATAAAATCTAAGCAAATTGGAAGAGACGTCTACCATTGAGAGCATTTACTTCTCTTTATTAGTATTGTTTACCTAAATGTTTTAACTTAAGGGCAATCAAGTAATTTTGGTGATTACAAACTATTAATTACATATATTTAGGCACTAATGTCTATATTGAGTGTTGTGCTAGATATGATTGTATTTCCAATATAGCCCTTATAAAGCAAAGATGAGCAAGTCACATTCCAAGCATTTTAAAAGAAAGTATGGTGGTGGGTATTGGTAATGGTGATGGTAGTGGGTGGTGGCAAAGGTGGTAGCCTGGTACGTGGTGGTAGATAGAGAGTAAAAAGAAAAAAGAGGTGGATGGAAGTTTTAAAAGTAGTGAGGGTAATTTGGACCAAAATAGTATAATTACTTGTTTGGTAATTATTTTAATTTATTAGCTCTTTCACCCACATACTATTTGGATACAGTCATATTTATAAGACCACCAACATAAGTTGTCATTTATTAAATTTGGTTTTCTTGCTCACCATGTAACGACCCGAACCCGAGGGTCTGAATCGCTAGCTGGGTCCTTACTTGAACCCAAGGTTACCTAAGTGTGTACCATCACGTCCAATGTCAAGACACCTTTCACACTTCATTCCCAGTCATCCTAAGGTCCATGGTGACCCAATACAACCATATTACGATTGGAAATGATTACAAGGGAAGAAAGAACAGGAGACAAAGGAGATCAGCAGACCGGTCGACCGAAATGGCCCTTCGGTCGTCCGGAATGACTACTCCGGTCGACCGAAGTAAAACCAACCGGTTTGCCGGTTGTGCCCTCTAAAATAGAGTACCTACTGGAATACAACCCCAAAAGATACCGATCGACCGATACTCCAATCCGGTCGATCGGAATGACCTCTGCGAAATAAAACCCTACTATCAAACTTGCCAAACCTACTATAATACATTATGCAAAACAAGGAAATTTAAGGCCTCATTACTCTAACCTACACTGTAATTACAACACGTTCAACATACCCAATCCTTTCCATGAATATACATACAAAATGACTGAAGTTTGCATCAGTTTACAGTCCATGAAGCAAAATTATGGCTACAAGTCCATTAATTACAACATACTATAAGTCATGCTATGGTTTTACAAAAGGACAAAGTTCTATACAAAAGATAACCAAAGTTAGACTTTCAACCACGACTAATTCTGTGGTGGTTCGTCATCCGCCACTTCTTTCTCATGTCCTGAAAAATGTTTAAAATAAGGGGTGAGCACTAGGCTCAGTAGAAGTTACCTAAGGCGTCAGTTTTGGACTCCTTTGAGTCACATAACACATAAAGGGATTAACAAGACTGGGAACATGCATTGGGAGTCCACATAATAATATTTACATCCAACAAGCATTTGTTTCAACACAACAATACATTTCAATCAAGATATCATGTATGATGTGAAATGCAATGCATCCATTCCCGTGCTTGGTCTCTACCAACCCAACTTCCTATTTTCGAAATCCGTTAACCGACTTTACCAAGGCGAGATTGATAGCTATCCTTGGTTCCAAGTCCGGCAATCGTTCCGGGCCTAGTATCAACTTTTTCACGCCCACGGGCCGCGCTCCCTCTAGGTCAAGCTAGCCCCGAACTCGTGAAATCCGGTTCATTTTAAAAAAAATACTTCCCTTTCTTTAGAAAAGAAACCTCATTTTCAACACAAAAAAATAATAATAATAATAAAACTTCCTTTCAAATCTTTTTCAAAAATCTCTTTATGCCATGATATGCAATGCAATAACCTTCATCTTTATAATCTCAAGTTCATCATTATAGCAAGAACAACATCATCATGGCATTTTATAATAATCAAATAAAATTATGGCACGCTTTGGAAACCCAATACGACAAGAACATCATTATCCAAAGTAAGACATATACAAAAATTATCCATAA